CCGCCGCCCCGAGACACAGAACCGGAACCGCCTACGACAGCCCCCGTGGCTGCCCGAAGCGCACCACACAGCTAGCGCATCAGCCGCCGCCGAGCAGCGTCCCCGCCCCGCCCGGCCTGCCGCGGGGAGGAGGGCTCTGCCGCCGGGAAGGAGGCAGTCGATTGGTGCGGCCGAGAGTGACTTGCGGAAGACCCCACGGACACTGGCATTTCTGTCGGGCCTGTCATTCTACACCGCCCAGTGAGAGCCCGGGGTGGGACACGTCCGCCAGGCTCGCCGTTCATTGGTTCAGATGAAGGCCAATCAGACGCATGTAGAATCTTATTGGTGCTTTCCCGAAGTTTCTGGCGCTCAGGGAAGACGTGAGAATGCAGTGTGCCCGGCCAGTTTGATCGCCGATTGGCTGTTGTTTCCGCCAGTCATTTCAGTTTATGCTCCTGTCACTGCCACGTCATCCCCACCCATCACTTTTCTCATCATCCTCTTCCGCCCTTATGGATTGGTGGTTGGTATTAGCTGCTCAACCTTTTATACCATTAACTGAAAGAGTAAAAAGGGGAGGGGTTTGTCCATATTCTCTCTTTCATTTCTTATTGGTTGGCACCTATGTCACTCACATGTCTGCGGAGAGGTGGGGCGATGATTAGTTCCGGGAATTGTCTGTGAAAGCTGGAGCTTGGCTCTGCTGACCAATGAAAAAGACTTAGTGACAGATGGGCAGGCCAGGACAACCAATAAAATCCGAGAAGAAGCGCTGGAGGCGTGTCTGCCTGCTTTCAGCCTCAGGGAAGTTGGAGGGAGAAGAAAGCCACTCAGTTTCTCAAAGGCGCTTTTTGGCGCGGGCGCGATGTGGTATTCTCTCTTTCTGAGTTAAGACCTGAATAGTTTCTTGTTAGGAAGAGCCGAGCCGACATAGCGACTCTCGGCAGTCAGCCCCGCCTGAGTCCCCCTTCTAGGGCCCCTTCTAACTCGGAGCTGGAAACCCGGATTCCTGGGGAGCCCAGAAACAGCTTCCCCGGCCTCATTCTGGATCCACGGTCGCTCCACTTCCCTTCTCTGATTTTCTCGTTATCGCACCACACCCCTTATCTCTCGATTCTAGACTGTCATATGCCCCTAATTCTGTGTCACGAGCCGCTGACGTAGCTTCAGGAGAAAATAGATTCGCGAGGACCTGACTTGAAGTGTCCCTTCCAGACCTAAAGGCCCTTGTCGGTTTTAGCGTCGTAAGGGTACTTGTATATGGTTAACTTTGGACAGAAAATGGTTAATCAATTGACTTTGTGCACAAATTTGTGAAAATCACAAATTAAGTAACTAATGTAACATTTAGATGTTGTAAACTATTGTTAAATTGTATCCAAAAGCGCTGC